ATCAGTCGCTGGCTTCGGACGGCCGCTCACTGCGGCTGCTGGCCGCTCACGCTGGCTGNGGAGGGGGCACTAGCAGAGGGAAAAGCAGGCTGGCCACTGGCAGGGGTCCCCAGAAGTGAGCTAAGAAGGCACCACAGATAGTTAGCCACTGCCTAATTTACAGTTTTTCCTTCTGCTTTCCTTATTTAGAGCTTCTCGTGTCACTCCACACAACTGACAGACTTTTCTCCGTTAGAGCTATTCTAAGGCACTAAGAAATGAGACTCTACACTGCATTTCTCTTCCGTCAGAGAAGAGGCTGATGTTATGTGCTGATGCACATCACCACCACCCAATGACAAACACATCAACAGCTCTGGACCCGGCTGTACTTTTCCCTTTGATGCAGGCAGTGAGGGATTATTAAATGGCATTTCATTATGATTTACTGGCTAGATATTAGTCATGGTATATTTTAGAGTAAGCCTGAAGGGCGTAGAGATAACAATGTCACTCCAAAGTCGAGGAAGCCATTGCACAAACATTAACAATTCCCAGTCTCCTTTGCAGTTATTCATCTGCCTGCATCTTGCTTTGGCCAGTGCCATCTCACTTTTTGCTGCTAGTCTAGTAATTTTTAAAACCTTAAATATAATTTTTTAGGTTAATTTCCAGGGCTGTTGTCTTTGAAGTAGGACTGATTATCTGGCTGGATATAGAGGGAGCTTTCTAGTCTAGAGTTTGTTTCTGACTCATTGTGATAATCTGGGCAGATCTTTTAATCTCTCTTATTTCCTCCCATCATCACTTTCTTGGAAGCCTTCTTGCCAAATCATTGCTTTCTTATTCTCAGTGTCCCATAGTCTTAACAGATGATGTCATTCAACAATCCTGTATATGGAATCAAAATAATGTTCTCTTTGGGCATTTCCTAATTATCTTCTGTTTCTGATTTGTAACCTCAAACTTTTGCCTTTCCTCAGTCTTCTCAATTGCACTGCTTCCTACATCTCAGCTTTTCTCTCTGATGCAGCTAAGCCACTATCCATTATAATGCATAATCTTTAATGGGATCCATTCCTAGCTAGTCTTTTGAAATACAGTTCTGTAATTATATTTCAACTTAGTTTTCTCTTTTTTTTAACTACGGCTTTTAAAGTTTCTTAATGTTCTAATAGGAAGTTATACATGTAAATTTAGTAATTACGTGAAAAACATATTCTATGCATGCACTCTTATAAAATTGTCATTAGAAGGAAAGCCCTAATAATAAAGACATGGCATGATAGGTATAATATAATAATAGCTACCATTCAAGGCTATCCTGTATGTAGGGCATATATAATTTCCAATTCCTATAATAATTTCCAGTGTACACCACATTTTACAGGTGAGAAAACTTAAGATCAAAGGGGTCACTAAACCAGGGCTTTTAGTTTAGGTTTGTTTGTTTTTTTCTCAGTCTTTTGAAGATACCCACTATTTTGTGAATCCAGCATCCCTTTTTCTGGAAATTACTTCTCCCTTCAACATCCAAAGGCTGTCACGGGGACATGCATGTTATGACAGGATCCTATCCCCTGGCCTCTGAGCCTTTTCCCACAAGGTTTTGTGGAATAGGGATTATGAGAACATTGACTCAGGGTGTTTTTATTTGTTAAGTGGTAACATGTAAAGCTTAGGAATTGTTGGTGGCTGGTTTACAGCCACAGAAACTGCAAATGTGGGGAGAAGGCAGCCTGAGTTACAGACTGGGAAGTAGCATTCGAGCTTCTCTGCTTCCTGTTTTCTGCCCCTGCATTCCTCAAGACATCCCTGTGTCCTGATAATAATTCCCCTTTTTTGCTTAAGTTCAAATTTATTATCAGTCGCTTGCCATCCCCAAAAGACCTAATGTCTAAGACTGCTGGTGATCTTAACCATAACAAAAAAAGATAATGGGTTTGGGTTGAATATCTGCTGACATCTCAGGGTTTCATTCAAAAGCTGGTTTATACTGTGGTTCCCCACACATATTTAGTTTCTTCCTGCTTGATCTCAAACACATCTGAAAAATAAATCATATCTATTAAAAATGGTTGCATTAGGGCCAGCCGAGTAGCACGATGGTTAAGAACTGGCTTGGGATGCCAGAGGGCCCCGGTTCGGATCCCACATATGAGGGCCAGTGACACTGCCCTCTACAGCTAAGATGCTGAANATGGCTGGAGGGGATCACTGGTCTCTCTTACCCTTGTTGTAAGGACACTACTCCCATTGTGGAAGCCCCAGGCTCATCTAAATTTAATCACCTCCCAAAGGCCCCACCTCCAAATGCCATCACATTGGGGATCAGGGCTTCAACATATGAATTTTGGGGTGACACAAACATTCAGTTCATAAGAGAAGGTGTCCTCACTTCCAGCCCCCTAGTGTGGTTAAACCTTGGCAGGAGTGAAGACGTGCTGGAGAAGGACCAGACGGGTAGGGAATCTGAGAACTGGGTCTGCAATTAAGAGGCCACTGGGAACCCAGTACACAGAGGCAAGGCACAGTCGTGGGAACAAGATGAGATCATGTACAGTGAAGAAACAAAGGTTCCTTTTATTTTAGTTTTTTGTATACCTAAGTCATAGTGTAAAATTTGATGCTAGTATGTACACATACTCATATTTACATACAAGTACACATATAGGATTAGAGTCTATAATGGTCATTATCTCTAGATGGTGAAAGTATGGGTTTTTTATCTTTTTTCATTCATTTGTAGTATCTATTTTTCTAAAATTGTGTGTATTTGTTTACATGTATACTTTATACCCCCAAATCCTCCCATGTTATCTTTTTACAAGCTGTCAGTTGTTTTTCAAAGGTTACTTGTGTTGTGTCGGCGTATTTCAAAACAATAGGTTGTAAATTTGAGCATTTAATGTTAATGCTTGTTGTTTTTCTCCTCACCAAACTGATATGAGATTTGTTGTTGTTTCTCATATGGTTTTTGTTCAGGACTGACTAGTTGTTTCGATAGTCTGTAGGCACAACCTCACTAATATAATATGGTTAAGTTGGAAATAAGTGTTTTTCTGAGCCTACCCCTACGCTTTCAACAACACGAGATTTTTATGGCCTTATAGTGGCAGGACAGAAGTGAAGACCATTTACAAAACTCGTTAGGAGAAAGAAGCCCCGCTGAACTGCCTACCCACCCCTAGCCCACAGATGAAAGACTTCATCATTACCCTTTTCAAAATAATGTATTATTTATTTATTTATTTATCTATTTTAATTGGGAAACAGCTATGGTCATTGGTTGTACATTGCTTTCATGCTACAATGGCATAGCTGACTTTTTAGGGAGGGCGCAGCTCACAGTGGCCCATGCTGGGATCGAACCGGCAACCTTGGTGTTGTTAACACCATGCTCTAACCAACTGAGCTAATCAGTCACCCCACCCTATTTATTTCTTGATCAACATTTTAAAAATAAAAATTAAATGAAGCTAGACTTATTTTTTGCTTGTGGGGGTGGGAAGCAAGATTTTTAAAATTGGGGAGAAAAACTTTCAAAGATTTTTTTTTTAAGATTTTTATTGGGGAATTGGGGGATGGGAACAGCGCTGGGGAATTGGGGAAGGGGAACAGACAGGTTGCTGTCCTTTTGTTCTTCAGTCTAGTTGTGGAGGACGTTGCTTCACTGGCCCAAGTTGGCACCANCCCTCTCTAAAATTCAGACATCTAAACAGTTCCAGGATAGGGAGAAGGACATGGTGGCCAGAGTTCGTGAACTTTAGGGGACCTTCCCTCTCCTGCTGTCTGTGGTCTGAGGACCATTTACAAAGTTGGGCTCTGGTAGGAAGTCCTCCTGTTTAAACAGCTAAGAGGCAGCCCCTTTGGCAATCAGAATTGTCTTAAATATGATCAAGTTCTGATGCCACTAGGGAAATTACTGCCTAATTTTGAGTATCTATAAACTAAAAATATAACCATTTTCTTGAGTTAAAAGCCTGTATTATGGTCTCATTATTTGTGATAATTTTAATAACAATGAAAGCTATGATAGTGCCATGTTTTCTGTCAGGAAGAGGTAAAACAACATGAAGTTTTTAGGATTTCTAATTGCCTTGCTTAGCCCACAAACTGGAAAGGGGTGGGAAAGCAGAAAGTGGAGTGTTCCCACATTTCCCACAATTTTGGACATAAAGGAGAAGCAACTCTCTTGCTATCTAATCAGCAAAGATAAGCTGATAGTTAACTAATTTCTGGATCTCTTAAGTCATTTGTTTAGCCTTGTAAATTTGCTGATGAGGAGCTATAATAAAGATTCTGGGCAGTTTTTTCTACCAGAGTATTAAAGTAATTTAGGTATTTGAAGGTGTAAAATGGAATGACTTCATCTCTCAGTGGTTCAGATAGATGCTAAGGTCTTGGCCACACTTAGCTGGCCCAGGAGTATGTCCATCGTGTATACATTCAGGCTAAGTGACAGCGCTCAGCTCAAGTCCAGAAGCCCACAGATCCCAGAGTTAGCTTTCCATTAAGGAGTTGCTTACAAGAAACTGGATCAGGATAAAGCAAAGACTAAGGGACAGAAAAAAAGCTTGGATTACATTACTGCAATATTCTTCAGAATCAGATTTTGGCTTCTGTTCTTCTCTTTGAAGTTGAAAATGCCTCAAGTTTCTTACTGAGAGGCATGAATACTATATTCTCCGACAATTTCCATCCAAGTCCATCCAAGCTTATGTGACAAGGTTGCCTGATAAGGTTATTATATGTTTGGGTATTTTATGCATGTGTGTAACATTGTCACTTTGCTTTTCAAAACCGAAAATCCCCTGAATATCCACAGGCAAGGATAACTCAGAATTTGGCAGGTCAAGTAAAATGCCCTCTGTTATTCTCTATCCCTGCCTCATTCTTTCTCCCACACTTTTTAGTTCACTAAGTTTTAAGAGCCTGAAATCATTCTTAGTGAATAATGCTGGACCACTCTGCAAATTTGGGGCTGAGAGCTGGACCCTCGTCATCACCACGCACTTTGTCACTGAGACGGGGTAACCCATGGTTACTGAGCTCAGATCAGTTAAAGGGCCGAAAGCCTTCCCTCCTCACTGCTCTATAAAAGAGACCCAGCCAAAGGACCCTACCAGCTTCTAGCGCTCAGCTTGGGCGAAGGTGTGGAAGCAAAACCTGAGACCTTGGGAGCAGAGCACACCAGCTGCAGAGGCAAGGCCAACATGTCTCCTTCCTTCAAACTTCAATGTCACTTCATCCTGATCTTCCTGGTGACTTTAAGAGGGGAGAGCCGGTACCTAGAGGTGAGCAATCCCTGTACTGACCCATCACACCTTCCAGGGTGTGCGTCCAGTCTTGGGGGGGCGAGCAGGCTGTCTGGGCTCTCGCCTTTGTTGGGGTTAGCTCTTCCTTCCCTGTCTTTTGCACCCGCCTTTCCCTTGCTTTCCCCCCAGACTGGTCTTCCTCCCTGCCTCTTCCTCCTTCCCTCTGGTCCCTGGGGATACCCTTGTCTGATGGAAAGGAAACCATCACTTTATTCTCTTTGCTGCGAGGCAGATAAAGTGCCCCGCTCCTGGTCCCCTTTCCCATCCCTTGAACTTTTCCGGACTGACCCATTTTCCTTGCCAGCTGCGGGAAGCCGTGGACCACGACCCGTTCCTGCTCTTCAGCTCCAACCTGAAGCGGGAGCTGGCGGAGGAACAGATGTACCGCCGCGCTCTGCGTGAGTCGGCACTGCCGGGCTCCGTCCGTCAGCCGGGAGGTGGGGAGGTTGGGACTCTGCGCCCAGGGTAGGAGGCTTCGTGGCATCGCTGGGACTCGGCTGGGCAGGACGGGTGGGGGCACAATTCTGATCGCTAAGGGTCCATCGTGAAGAGGTGAGCCGGGGCGAGATGGGGAGATGCACCCTGGGGTTTGGGAGCCGCCGGCAGTAGCGGCTGGGAGTTGGGCGCTGGGTGCTGCAGACCCAGGAATGGGGTGCGTGGAAAGGGGCTGCCCTGGGCATGAGCTGTGGTGGCTGCAGCCCGGGACCCATGACCCCGCTGTCCTCCCCCAGGGTGCCTGGACATGCTGAGCCTCCAGGGCCAGTTCACCTTCACTGCCGACCGGCCACAGCTGCACTGCGCTGCCTTCTTCATCAGCGAGCCGGAGGAGTTCATCACCATCCACTACGACCTGGTCTCCATTGACTGTCAGGGTGGGGACTTCCTGAAGGTGAGGTGTCCCCGCGGAGCAGCCCCGACCTCGGGGCATGGGAGGGGAATGATCCAGGATGCTACACCCAGCGGGGGGTGGGGGGGCTTCCGAGCTTGGGGAGCTGCTGACACTCTTAATTAGACGCTCTGCAGGTACCCAAGTGAGAGAGCAGCGCTCCGGGACCCCTATGCTACAGGAACCCCCTCCCCCAACCTCAAGACCCCCCCCAAGGACCGGTGCCTCGGATGGTGCAGTAGTTTATAATTCCCTCTGTGCGCTCTTGGGGCCGGACTCTTCTAAAGACTTGAACTAGCGCCGCTAAACGTGGTGTTACAATCCGGTGGCAGATGGACATGATACAAACTAGCGTGAGCGCTCCGGTCTACCACGCTGGCGGATGCTGGTTAGAAGACCCTCGCCACATGTCTGCCCTCTGAGCCGGTCTTGCTCCTGCTGGTGCCTCTCTCTGTGGAGCTGTTCCAGGCTCCCAGAGGCTGTCTTCAATGCCTGGGTGACCCGATTATGGAGCAGTAGGGCACGGGCTGCGGTGAGGGGATGCTGAGATAGAATCTAATCGGAGGCAGATGGGAGGGGAGTACACGCCCCCCCAGCCTCACAACATCCCTTCTCCCAGCCGTTCTTCACAGACTAACAGGTCAGCTGCGGATGGCTGGAGTTCTATGGTCCAATTAAAAAGATCATGATTAAAACCTCCAAGTGGAATTATTTTCTAACCTGTCAAATGCATTAGAGGAGGACTGGTCTGGAGAAGTAATTTGTAGCTTGTGATTTTGTTATTGCTCGTTAAATTGGTGACCTGTGGTGATTTTATGAGTAAAGTCAATAGATTCTGACCTTTTGTCCAAATGCAAACTTTAGCAAGTGAAGGAAAAGAGTCCTAAGCAGCATGTCAACCATTGTTGCCAGAGCATTGAAGCGGTTCTTGGTATTTTGATGTGATAAAAGTAAAAAAAAAAAAAAAAATGGGGGAAAAATCGATGCATATAACCATTGGCAGGTAGGTAAAGTTGCTGTTTCAGTTTTTTCTTTTGTTGTCTATTTTTGAGACATTTTGCTCATATTTCAGTAAGGAAAAGAAAGAGACAAACTGAAACCCAAGTTAGGCTTCTGTGGAATTCATTTTTCTGAAGGTGGGATATGTGGAAAATATGACCAAGATAAAAATGTATATTGTCTGTAGTTTCACTTACCAAGGTGGCTGAACTTATAAAATAAAGTTTACTTACTTTAGAAACTTTAAGTTTTATTTTTAAAGAGCAATAATTAATAATTTCCTTTGCAAACAACTCTCACAGTCCAAATATATACAAATGGAAAGCAAGTAGGCTGTCAATTCTTCATTTATGACTGAAGGCTCATTGCTGGGTAACTCCCTCCCCCCAGCCCCCACCCCCGCCCCGCCGCCCCTCTTTTCAACACACCTGTGACTTCAGGAGTTGATGGAAGTGATCATCTATGTCTGTATTTTTTTGTCGAAAGGTATTTGATGGTTGGATTCTCAAGGGAGAAAAGTTCCCCAGTTCACAGGATCATCCTCTCCCCACAACTGAGCGGTATATAGATTTCTGTGAGAGTGGTCTTAGCAGAAGGAGCATCAGATCTTCCCAGAATGTGGCCATGATCTTCTTCCGGATCCATGAACCAGGAAATGGATTCACAGTAACCATAACGACTAACCCCAACCTCTTTCGTAAGTGGGCTCCCTGTCTTTTCAGGCCAGAGATAGGACTTGTGGTGGTGGTTGGGGGTGGAGGGAGGGAGGGCTATCAAATCTGCTTTTCAAAAGTAGTACCATTGCACAGACAAAACATGTGAAGCGAGGAATGATTTGAATGGAAATTCTTTTGTAATTAGAAATGACCTAAGGGATATTTTCTATTTATTATTATGAAAATCAAATCACAATTTTTCATTTATTTCCAAGGCTAGATAGGATACTAATTTATGGTGAATAGAATTCTAGTTTTTCTTCCAAGCCTTATTCTGATCTCTTAAGGCACTACAATGCATTCAGTGACAGACTTTAATCCTTCCAAGTCATTCCACTGATCAGGGATAAGCTTGAGGGAGCAGGTATGAAGTTGCAATCTTAGAGGTATTTAGACAAAGGCTGAAAGACTGCATATCTGGGATATGGTGGACAGATTTCATGCCCTGGGCAGAGGATTGGACCAGAGGACCTCAATGTCACCTTCTGATTCTGAGCCCTCTCCCCCCACACTCTAATTTAGTTCATTTCTGATGGATACACACATAGATGCTAAAAAACTGAATAGCCCAGACCTAAAATACATGATCTTAACCAAAATGAATTCATTCATCTGCTTATTTTTTTCCTCATTAAAAGAAAACAAAAATCAGGAAAAGAAAGCATCACTCATTTTTGGTCGCATATAATAGTATTAATATTAACATTTCATGTGATCAAGACTGTGGTCTAATCTGCCAAAGAATAATGTGTTGACTGATCTTCCAATTTTTTTTTTTTAAGAAGCCCCCCTAAAGGCTGGTTCTGAGGACTGGAGCAGAATAACCCGAGAGGACAAAATGAAATGTTTCTCCTATATTTTATTTGGTTATAAATTAGAAACCTTTTAGAATCATCAAGGAATTTCAGTTCTTTTTGAAATTAAGTATAATTAAAATTATAGGAAGGAGGCAAGAGGTAGTTCTGAGCTGTTCTGGTCAATCAGAAATTTTTATCCCATCATTGACCAAAAAAAAAAGATGCAAACTCTGATGCTTCCAGTTTCACAGCTGGAAAAATAAATTTAAGGCTAGACTTGAGATACAAAACAAAAAATTTCAGAAATTCTTGGGAGTAAATGACACATTAAAATTTATCTTTTAGTCAACTTATACCACTTAACACCCAACAAATATTTATCAGATGTAAGCCTGCTTTCTATTTTTTCTCAGCCCTATTTTGTGACTTTTAAAAAAATATTTATTTATTTTATCATTTAAAAAGTAATGTTAAGGCTGTAAATTCATTGAATGAAGGCTTCAGACAGATAAGGTTTGAGTTCTGGCCTCAGCTTTAAAGGCTTGATTCTTCCAGACTCCCAACTTGAACTTGGACCCTAGTTAACTGAAGTGTTCCTAGAACTTTTAGCAGCTCATATTATTTGGTTGGTTATTCATTGATGTCTGTGATTGTTATAAACAAAGCACGCCCCCCCACCCCACCCCCAAGATAACGATTAGAAGCCCCTTACAGCCCAGGGCATCTTGACAATGTCCATACATCACTGGTGACTTTTATTCCCCAACTTCTTCCTGTCTCCAAGTTGCCTACGTGCTCTCTTCTGGGCCACAAGGCCCTGGACTGTAAATAGGAGTGTGGAATAAGGATAAGGTAAATTTCTATAAAAACCCAGCATATCAAATAGTGAGAATGTGATTTTGTTTCTCTCCAAAGCCTGCAATGTCATTTCCCAGACCCCAAATGGAAGATTCACTATGGTAGTTCCACATCAGCATCGAAACTGCAGCTTCTCCATAATTTATCCTGTGGTAATCAAAATATCTGATCTCACCCTGGGACACTTAAATGGCCTGCAGTTAAAGGTGAGTTGCTTCTTTGCTTCCAAATCATTTATTAAGGCCACAGCTTGATCAGAGCAAAAGTAATCATACAGAGTAAATGTGGACCTTAGCGAATTGGAGTAGTACGCGTTTATCCTTCTGTTTGACTATTAAGTCTCACATGTGTGTGCCCTCGTTAGTTTGACTAAACCCATCTTCTATTTTCGTTATGCTGTAAATTACATTCTTAGGTGTCTCTTGTGCCTACTTGAATACTTTTCTTGTGATATAAGAAATGTCTTCAATTGGTAAACTTATGGCATATAATTACAATTGAACTCTCTTGTACTTGCCTCTTAAAAAAAAAATCTCTCCTGGCAAAACCTAGTGTGAGTCATCTACACAGCTGTTTTTCTGACTATTGGAACTTTTTGATATGAAGGAAGCATCTCATTGAGTGTGTTATGAAGAAATGCTAAGTATAGCATAAAATATGAAATTGGATTTTTATATTGCAAAATACAGTAAAGTTTTGAAGAGTTTTTTTGCATTACATTTAATTCAATTCATTTTGCAACTAAATTTTAGCTGAGAATCTCTATCAACTTGTTTACCCATGAACTTCTGTACAGATCTAAAAATTAATGCTGAGCTTGACCACATTTACTTGCACTGGTAGCTTCTTCCCTCTGAGTCATCCTCATTTCCTTTGACTTTCTCATATGCCAAGGTTGAGATAGCTCATGTATTTTCTGGCATCAAAGACAGTCATGGTTCTGAATCAGACAGATTTCAGGGGAAACCAAATCAATAGGACCAGGAGTGAGAAAATGAGTATGTCTAATTTCCTTTAAGCACTAAATTCATGGGCAGTGCTTTTCTTTCTTTCTTTCTCTCTTTCTTTCTTTCTTTCTNCAAAAGGACAGCAACTTGTCTGTTCCCCTTCCCCCAATTCCCCAGCACTGTTCCCATTCCCCCAATTCCCCAATAAAAATCTTAAAAAAAAAATGGTTGCATTAGAAATAGCCAAATTTATTCAAACAGCAAGTCATCTTGAGAACAACTGAAAATTAGTTGTTGTTGTTGGCTAACTACTGGGTTGTCTGAAAAATCATGACGTATTTTTTCTATATTTTTCGTTGCAAAAATGCGTCATGACTTTTCCGACAACCCAATATAATGAGTTTTATTCAGTCATCTTTATTTCTTAAAGAACTCAATCATGTCTCATTTTCCCAACATTTCAACAAATCAGTCAGGAAAGGAAAAAGAAAGTTTTTCAAAAGCATGAATTGGTAGCGTTCTCTTTGAAGCAATTAACAAAAGAACAAGTTTACAATTACAGATAGAGAATACTTAAAGGGGGTCTTAGGACCGACCCTAGAATAGAAAGAGATTTGGGATTATGTAGTTCCCTTTGCTGCTTCCAGCACCTCAGTGCATAAACTGTGGCAGACTCCATAAGCTTACATACACTTGGCTGTCATAATCACATCACAGGTCATGTGGCTGAGTACAAAGTACCTCCTCGTGCTACTTAGAAGTCTGTGTATACCTCTTCAGTCTCAGCACAATTTAAAAATCCTCCCCTCCCCCCATGTTTATGAATTTTATATGGATCTGTATTGGTGGCCACCTCGACCTTCAGGCTTAATACAGGTGACAATTAGCTCTGGGGCTTTGTGAAAGAAAAAAATGTCTTCATCCTACCAAACAAAATCTTAACCCTGCCTGACAATAGTTTAAGACCTAAAAAATTCTGCTCAGGGGCTGTGTTATCATCAACATTGGAGAGATTGTCTCCAAAATACAGAGAGAAACTAAAATGTTTGCCCTTCTTCATTCTAGCTTTTCCTGTGTGCAGTTCTTGAGGAGGGGGTGTCATGAATGCACGTTAGGGACATTATTGTTGTCTGTGTATACGTGTGTGTGTGTGTGTGTGTGTGTGNAGCCTACGCCGTCGCTGGTGACTCATGGCAGCCCAGCTCCAGGTTGAACTGTTGTTCAGCATCTTAGCTGTAGAGGGCAGCGTCATTGGCCCTCATATGTAGGATCCGAACCGGGATCCTCTGGCATCCCAAACCAGCTCTTAACCACTGCGCCACTTGGCCGTCTCTATTTAGATTTTTTTTTTTACTTTTTATCTAATGTCCTTTTTCTGTTCTAGGATCTCATCCAAGATACCACATTACATTTAGTTGCCATCTCTCCTTTGGCTCCTCTTAGCAATGACATTTTCTCAGGGTTTCTTTGTTTTTGATGACCTTGACAGTTTTGAGGGGTACCGGTCAGGGTAGGATGCCCCTATATTGGAATTTGTCTCATGTTTTACTCATGATTAGACTGGGTTATGGGTTTATAAGAGGAAGATCACAGAGGCAAAGTGCCATTTTCATCACATCATACCAAGGGCACATACTAGCAATGTGATTTATAACTGTGGATGTTGACCTTGAATTGGCTGAGATAGTGTGTGTCAGGTTCCTCTACTGTAAAGTTACCCTTCCCCTACTGTTTTCTGTGGAAGGAAATCACTATGCACAGCCCACACTGAACAAGTGAGGAGCTATGCTTCCCCTCCTTGGTAGCAGAATGTCTACATAGACCATTTGGGGTTCTTCTGCATGGTAGATTTGTCTCTTCTCCCATTTATTGATGTATTCAATCATTTATATCAATATGGACTCATGGAAATTATTTTATACCCTGAGTTATAATTTAATAATACTTTATTTTGTTTTTCAAATTGTTCCAGTTTGAGCCATTGACATTTCTTTCAGTTGGCTCTGGATGCTGACTTTTTAACCCTAAAGGTGTTTAGAATTCAGTTCGGTTTTTACACCATGAGATTTTAAAACACAAATGGGACCTACAATGTAATTATTTTATCGGCAAAAAACTGATTTCTTCAATATTAGATGGCCTCCCTCTCTTTAAATGCCTTAGAGGAATCTTATTCTATTTGTACAGTAGTCATAATTAAAAATGGAAAAATGTCATATTTAAAAGGGATCAGTGTTTATTGATCCTTTATATATAATTCCAATAAACTAGCTGCGGGGGGGGGGGGGGGGGCGGGGGCACGCAGGTTTCAAGGCTGAGGAACAGGGTTCAGTTTCTCCAGAGCTGACTATGTCTACTCTCCAGCCACTGACTATGCCCCACAAGCTGAGCCTGGCACCAACCAACCTTGTTTTACAGGTGTTGCATTAGCCTAGAAGTAGCTATTCTAGGCACAAGGGCATGCCTTGAAGATAGTGATTCAGCTCAAGGGCTTCACAGACAAAGGCTATCACATAGCTGGGGCACCTGGAGACCTCAAATCAAAGCCCTAGAGAATGTAGGTTAGAAATGGCAGAGCCCTTGCTATAGACTGAAGGTGTCCCTCCAAACCTAATCCTCAATGTGATGGTATTTGGAGCTGTGGCCTTTGGGAGGTGATTAGGTCATGAAGGTGGAGCCCTCATGTGTGGGATTAATGCCCTTATAATAGAGGCCCCAGAGAGCTCCCTTGGCCCTTCCACCATGTGTGGACACAGGAAGAAAACAGTTGCCTATGAACCAAAAAGTGGGTTCTCATCAGACACTGAAGCTGGTAACACCTTGATCTTGGACTTTCAGCTTCCAGAACAGTGAGAAAGAAATTTCTGTTGTTTGTAAGCCACTCTGTCTGTGGCCTTCTAGTATAGCAGCCCAAACAGACACATTCCTGTATAATACATCACTCCAAAACTTAGTGATTTAGAACAACACTTATCATTTCTCATGGTTCCTATGGGTTGGGTATTTGAGAAAAATACTCAGTGGGGTGGTCTGGCTTGAGGTCTTTCATGATGGTATAGTCAGCTGGTACTGGGAACTGGGGTCACCTCAAACGCCTCTTCACGCATGTGTCTTGTACTCAGATCAAAATGTACGGGGACTGAAAGAGCTGGGGCTCCCAGGAATCTCCCTCTATCTCTATGTGGTCTCTCAAGCATGGTGGCTTCATGGTAGCTCATGTGTCCCAGGAGAGAGAGAACTCCATGCTGAAGGCATATTGCCTTTTTCTAACTTAGCCTCAGAAATCAGGGTCATTTTGCCAAATTATTAGAAGCATGTTTTAAAATGGGGCCATATTCTAGGGAAAAGGAACCAGACTCTGTCTTTTTGCAGAAAGAGTGTCAAAAATTTTTCAAACAAGTATTAAACCGACCTCAGGACCCCAGAGACCCCCAGGGCTGGACAGCTTCCAGTGACCCCTCTGTCCCTGTCCTGTGGCCCAGGAGGCTAGGCGACATCTCCCACTGCTATTAGTCCTAGGACACCGCACCCTCCCTTGTGATTTTTCTGCATGCTGCCCACACCTTTCTATAGTCTTTTTATTAAGCTCTCTGCAAATTACCCACTTGAGAGCTGTTTCCTGCTGTGATCTTGACAGTGACATTGACCTCCCTTATCTTATGTATGACGTGAATGACTTGCCCAAGCTCCCTGTCAGTGACCCAGGGCTTGGGAAACCTAATCCAGAGCCCTTTTGTTTTCACTCTGTAACTAACATGCGGAAAACAGAATAAAACCCCTGGAATTCTTGATGACTCCCACAGGGTGTTACCTACACGATACCTTCACAATGCTGTGTTGAGCCAGAATGGAGCCTGGGGTCAAAAGGAAAGTCACTAAGACCAATGGTATCTTCATCTCAAACTCTGATATTTTGTTCATCATGGACTTTTTTGCATTAACCTCCTTTTATATTGCATTATAATACTATTTATTGTAAGGACTGAGTTTTTGTGCCCCGGGTAAGTGCCCTAATTGCCTCCCCTCCCACCCCCAAGTCCCAACCCTGCCCCCTCTCCCTGCCCCAGCTCCCGCTCACCTTCCTCACTCCCCACCAAGGCTGGCTGAGGTTTTTTAGAGCTGACTCCAGGAGCTGTTTCAGCACCTCCTCTCTTTCCTTTCCTCAGGTTTTACCATTTGACTCCCATTACCTGGCTGGTGCCACATCTCTGGATGTTGTCAACTAACGTTTTAGTGGTAACAATTCTCTAATTTATAAG